CATTYCTTGAACRAGCCCTTCTYTTCCAATCCAGAAATCTCCCAAACRTATTTATTAATTTTTCTACAAAAGATACCTGCTCCCATGGTTTTTGTAYGACAAACTAATTTATACCAGGTGTGCAAATTATAAATTTCCCAGTGGCAGCCATGACTAGAAGCATTTCAGCAATGGTACTTCCCAGAACCTCCGCGATTTTGCCCTCTCAGGGCACATTTAAAAGAAGTCTCTAGAACAAGGAGCAGACTTAATTTTCAGCAAATCCATGTCAAACTGCAACTCTCCTTTGAAATCTTTTGTGTATTGTCATTAGAAAGTCCATCAGTGAACACAAATTTTAATTTATTTAAGGAAATCACCATCCTGATCACCAGGAACTCAATATTATGAGACCAACAATTGTTGGGTAAAGTAGACGTTGTCAGGCAAGAGCTAAATAGACACATCAACTGACCCAAAATACATTTATACATGACAGGGTAGTCTGTGAATTAAACACTACACTGTTACTGGCTTTAAAGAGATTATTTTAATCCTAAATATTCGGAGGAAAAGTRGGGTAAGAACTCATAAAAGCGAAGTTCCACTTCTTGGAGCTTCCACACATTTGCTTCAATAGGAGACACAGGTGATTAATTTGGCTCACAGAAACAGGAAGCTCTCAAATGACAGGGAAAYGTATTTTCATGCAAGTTCTGCAATTTTTTTATGCTTTACTTTCCCTCATTTTTGAAGGGAGAGGAATATTTGGAAGCAGTTCTCATATTCACCTCCCTCTCTCAGCATTTTTAAGTGTCAGCTCTGCTTGTTAAAGCTCAACTTTAGAAAAATGTCAGAAAGCCTCCAATGCCAGGATGGCATGCARAGCTGCTATTTCCCTCTCACAGTGGTCTCTAATGCACCTACAGATGCAAATCCCTGCTAATATCAGCCCCAATTATTGCATAGATTTTCCCTGAACACACTGTAGAGCAGATTTTCAAACACTGTAGACAAAATGCAGATTTGAAATCACAAAGGAAATCACAACTTTGCAATCACAAAGTTGACAAAATGCAGTGGGTTATATAAAAGGAAGGAAGAGAATGAAAGTCCAAAGTTCATTACTTTCAAAGGTAAAACAACAACGAGAAACTCTCAAGCAGGGCACAGTTGTCCTTGTAGCATTAAAAAAAAATAAACAACAATGACATTTTTCATAGACTAGAGCAGCACGCCTTTAGAGTCTCATTTAGTTATCTCCTACTGCAAGGTGGAAACCCAAAAGATTACTGAAGTTTCTTTAACATAATCCCATCAAATCACGTCCATTTACAGGCAGAGATACAACAGCAGCAGAAGGGAACTTTTTTTTTTTGCTGTCAGAGTTAGAAGACACCTTGCTGCAGTGAATGCTGTCCTGAATGCAAATTACCTCAGCTCCCCATGAGGCACTCTGCAATGTTTGAGGCTGCCAAGACAGCACAGTGGCTGCAGATGCACATTTAGGAAGTCAGTGGTCAGAAGAAAACATTCCAGGATGGATGAAAATTGGTACCTAAGTGCAAAAGCCAGGGAATCGGTGCAAGATTTGGATCTCACAAGAGTCAATTTATGTGCCGCAAGGACAGAGGTGACTGTGCTGATGACAGGAATAAGGTATTTCTTGCTGTAAAAGCGAGTTATTGTGCCTCTGTATYCTGAGTGATGCCTTCACACCTTAATGAAGTCCATCAGTGAACACAAATTTTAAYTTATTTAAGGAAATCACCATCCTGGTCACCAGGAGCTCAGTATYATAAGGCAAACAAAAATTGTTGAATGAAGTAGACATTGTCAGGCAAGWGCTAAAYAGACACATCAACTGACCCAAAATACTTTTATACATGACTGAATCGTCTGTGAATCAAACACTATACTGTTACTGGCTTTAAAGGGATTATTTTAACCCTAAATATTTGGATGAGAAGCRGGGGAAGAAATGATAAAACAAAGTTCCATTTCTTGGCACTTCTGATACCTTAATGAAGTCGAGTGAGCGGAGATGGAACCTGCCAGGACAGCCCGAGCCTCTGCAGGATCAAAGCGGTGCCACACTCACACCTCGCAGAGCTCTTGGCTTGTCAAAGTGCTGAACAAGCAAGCTGTGCCCCACACCTGCTTCTTGGCAGGAAGCTCACTCTGAGTTAACGGGCACACACCACATGGGAAGTAAAGATTCACTCAAGTTCGCACAAACTCTGAATTCTAATTGAACAGGAAAAAAAAATTAACAAATCCACACCAGTTATTCCCTTCAAAAACAGATTGTTAATCACGTCACTCCACAGAATGCCCTTCTCTAAACTGTCTCCAGATATTCTGAAATGGATGGAAAATGTCAAACATGGTATGTCTGAAGATTCGAGTACTCTTTTGTCTAAACTTTTTAATTAACGTCAGCTTCTAGTGAGAAATAAATTTTGCTTTGTCCTGTAGGCAGTCAAACACACCAAACTTTTTCTGACTTGGAAGTTAACAAAACATAGTTGCCACTTTGCACATGTCARTGAAGGTGAATTACTTTGAGCTATAGTGTGTGGAAGAGCAGAAAGGTTTTTCTGTCAATGCACAACAAAAGGCTGATGCTGTAACAGAAAACTTCATCTCAACATCAGAAATGTTTTTAGGCAACATCAAGAATGGAAATGCTCCCAGATCTTCTGCCCACCAGCACAGAAAAACTGCAACATTACCTCTTTCATCAGTCCAGTGTAAAAGGTTTTGAGGCAACTATTTAGTGTACAAGAGTTATAATTAATAAGCTTTATTAAGCCTTTGCACTAATTAACAAACAATTTACTATTTTGAGAACCGTTCTGATATGCCTGCCAGTATGCATCATCCAGAATTGTTTCAAATCCATTTATAGCTCATCAAATACATGCAATCTCGAGTTACTCTCCAGATACAGATCTGAGACAATTGCCTGAGTCCTGTTCCCCAGGCAGTAACGCCAATAACTCTCACATTGCACCACACTTGGCAGACACCAGGACTGGAGATGGGCTGCAATAACTCCTTTCCTATAAGATCTTCAAGCAGGTCAAAGCCATAGTCCTGAATTAAAAAAAACTCCTTTTAAATCAGTATTTTATAAGCCAGAAAAGTGTAAACTGCACCTTTTTTTTTTTTAATAGAAGAAAGAATACATGTAACCTCATGTTGAATTCCATTTAGTGCAGAATCAAGACAATCTGGTCAGTTCTTGTCAGCCACAGGAGCAAGTGCAGTCACATTCTGATCACACAGAGGGAAGCTACAAAGCTATCCTGGGATTTTAGCATCCTGAAGCACTTGCTGGAGTGGCTTCTGCAACAGGAAGAGCAGACAGGGAGCCAAAGTCTCACTAAAAGAAYAGAAGTTATATACACAAGGTTTCTTCATCTCATTTTATGGGACAATTTGATTTTGAATGGGACAAAGGGAGCCTTTATGCACTTATATGAGAAAAGTCTGAATCATCACCAAGCCTCCCTTTTATTTCCCACATATTTGGGGTTCATTTCCTTATCTTAAATTGGTGAGTTTTTCATATTTAGCAGTTGCAATACAAAAAACTATGCTGAATTTGGTTACTGCAGTGCAGGGACATTTGATTAGCAGGATATTGCTCCTGTCATAGCCCTCACAACCTTCCTGCAATCCAAAAGCCAACAAGAATGGTCACACTGAAAAGCTACACAGTGCACAGGTGTTTATTAAATAAAAAGTCACCCARTGGAGTTGGTGTGATGAAAAAAGCAATAAATAGATGGTAGATGAGTGTGAAAACACTGCCCAGGAGACCAAGGTAACAGTGAGCAATGGCAGAAGCCTAAAGAAACTAAATTAAAAACTAACAGAAAACAGGGTCCTGGTTTTAACTATACCCCTATTAGAGGAGAATAAAAATCCAAGTCCACATACTGCAAATGCAGCTGCCAATTCGTGTTTCCCAATGTAAATGAACACATAAAACCTTGGGGAAAAAAGTCCCACCACCAATAAAATATTGTGGTTTCATGTACAAATCCAAAGTCACTACACATTAAACCTAAAATAAAGCATTCTGTGAACAGCATTGTGATTGTCTGCTCTTCTCTGTGCGTACTCATTGTTAAATTAAGCAAGCCCCTTGCCCAGGAAGTCATGGAAAGACTGTCCGCAGGCAAAATACCCCATCCTGGTATTTGACATGTCATAATTCCCAACATAATAACAAGCACATGCCAGAGATTTCAAGCTTTATTTCATCCACTTTGCCTGTATGTACCCATAAAACCAAAAAGCATGAGCACAGCATGTCACACTTGCTGAACTCACATCACAGAGATAAGACACAGAAATGTGTGCATGTGCATGGTGCTTACAAAGGACAACTTTCCGAAGTTCACATTTTACAACAGTTTACTCCTGCAGCGTGGCCAAGGTAACACAGGTAACCAGCCAGAGCTGCYTGTCCCTCTCAACTTTATTCATGAATGTTGTCCCAGCTGCCTTTTGAAGTGTAACGAGCCCAACTAGTCTGGCACAGGTTGTTGCTGAAGGGGGAAAGGAAAGCACTGAGGAGGGGCAGGTATAAGACATGGTCTGTCAGAGGGGGAGCACTGCTTTCCTGCCGTCCAAAGAACTGTCAGTGCAAAAGTATTAGATACAAAAATAAACAAAAACTTGTATTATTCTAATACATACCAAAGTAACAAACACAGGTATAAAGTACGACTTCATTACTTTTCGTGTTGAAGGTATGTACAAGCCGAGTTCCCGCGGCTCCGAAGGCCCGGGGGTCTTTCCCCCCATCAGCCCCCGAGTTGAGCCCCGCAGCCCCAAGCCCCGCACGGGCACGCACGGCACAAGTTGATGGCGAACCTCCCCCGCGGCTTTGCCGGGGAACAGCCCCTTTGAAGCGCACCCGAGCGGCGGAGGAAGGCGCGGAGCCGGCTCTCCCCAGCCCGGGGCACAGCAATGCCCGCCCCGCTGCCCGAGCCCAGCGCCCTCACCTGCGGCCTTGCTCCGGGCTGCGGCTCCCGCGCCGGGCGCTGCTCCTCCGGCGGCAGCGGCGCTGGGCTTCCTGCGGATCGCCACCCGCCTGAAGTGCGCGCCCTCGGCTCCGCTCATCCTCGGCGTGGCGGAGAAACGGAGAAAAGCGGATGGAGGGAGAGGCCGAGGGGTCCGCAGCGCCCCGAGGGCAGCGCCTCGCTCGCCGCCCGCCTCCATCGCTCGGCCCTCACCTGCGGCCGCTCCCCGCCCCGCCCTTCCCTCAGCGGCACCTGGCGGGCTCCGCCTCCCGCAGCCCTGCCCTGCTACCTGCCCAGCCYCGGGCGAGGCTCCCCGGCTGCATGGCGAGCACAGCCCTCGGTGCCCGGCCCGTCCCGGGGATGAGCGGGGACTTCTCTGAGCCCAGAGCCCGCGGCGCAAGTTCCCCCCGCGGGCACCGCACCTGCTCCGCTTCCTCCCGGAGCCTCGCCGGGAGACCCCCGGCCCTGGCCCCGTTCCCGTTCCTGTTCTTGTTCCCGGCCCCGTTCCCGTTCCTGTTCTTGTTCCCGGCCCCGTTCCCGTTCCTGTTCTTGTTCCCGGCCCCGTTCCCGTTCCCGTTCCCGGCCCCGCTCTCTCCCCCCGATCACCTCCGCAATCCTTCCCTGGGAGGGGGGGCCCGATTCCTGTCAGATGTGCCAGTGTCCGTGGAACAAGCTGGCTGTAACGCAGTCCCCCGTGTCCGACGAGAACATTCTCAAAGGAATCTCGGTGTCCAAGCACTTAAAAGCGAGTTTTGATGCCAAGGATGGAGCTGCAATGCTTTCATCAATAATAATTCCATTCAGGCCAAAGCCCCTTTGCCAAAGTCTCTAAATTTTCACCAATGAGAAATGCAGTCAGCAGGCTGTGCTGCATTGAGATCATGATCACCTATCCAGCAACAAGGGCCTGAAAGCGTTCATTTACCTGGTTAACCAAGACACTTTGATTTACCTGGTTAACCAAGACACTTCGATTTACCTGGTTAATCAAGACACAGTGCTCAGAGGCAGAACATCAACTGTGCCATTGTGAGAGCAGTCTGCTGAGAGTTTTGATGTCTGTGTGGCAGCTTGATGTGGCACAGTTTGAGGCAAACCAGTTGAGAAGCTTTGCCATATACACTGGAACTTCCTGAGCTTTAGAAACSCAGGGTTTTAGGGCTTCCTCAAAGGTGGGCTCCTGTTTGGGAACATGCTGCTTCTTTTGTCTGTAGTTGAAGGATTTTCTCATGAAAGAGGAACACAGTCAGCTACACTCCAGGGATGGGATCCCTTTGGCAGTGGTCCAACACAACCTTTAGCTGCCAGGAAACACATGGATTGCTGGGGCTTGGAAGAATATTCTGGGAAAGTACCCCTCTGTAYTTACCCTGCTCTTACATCTCTTTTTGACCACAAGAGAGATGGGAAGTGGGCAAGTGAGACCTTCCATTCAACCATACAGCCACTCCTAGGATTTTACATATTCCACAATGAGATTTTATGGACTGCTCARGCAAGCTGCTGGCTTCACAGCTTCCTTATCTCCCAGAGGACAAGGATACCTTTTGCCAGCGCCCACAGAGCCATGCCCACGACACGGCCCCATCTGCAGGGGGAATCACTTGATGGAACCAAGCTTCCTCCAAAGTCCTGTTCTACGGCGTGAGGCTCCTGCTGAGTCTTTTCCAGCCGTCTTTCTTGGCATGCAGGACCCCCGAAGGGGGTCACACCATCTGCTGATGTGAGGGGACCACCCGTGTGAAGCACCAGCTGTGTCTGACCCACRGGAGGCACGGCAGGAGAGAGGGGAYGTGGTGACTCTTCCCACACCACACGTGTAGTGGCAAAGGATGCAGAGGAGGAAGCGTCAGAGAGCAGGTCAGCAGTGAGCAGGGGTGGAAGAGGTGGTGCAGCTGGCACATCTGCCACCATGTGCCAGTGATCTCGCTCTTTTGGTCTCTGAAATGGTTCTTTTCCAGAAGAGGTTTGATATCCTACAGCCGCTCCCTTCGGCTCTCGATAAAAAGGAAGCAGCAGGATCACCTCCTGGATCCTTTTTGTCTGCTTGCAATTGCAAACCTTAGGTTTTACTTTTGTAAACACACACAAAAAAAAGCAGTGACTCAGAGATAAAAGACTGATTTATGTCCTGGCTTTAGTCACCTGACTMGGGCTGGGCATACGGAGATGCATGTATCACTCATTGCTGAACTTTGCACTTGCCTCTTTAAACACAGAGCTTTGCTCCTGGAAGGAGTACAGCTAGGGAAGCAAGGGCAAGCACACACGCCCCTACAGACCTTAACCAAATGGTAGGAACTGTGCTAATTTTGTTCTCTGCGATGTTATCAGTGAGTGCTAACTTATTACAGTGTCACTCGGGAAAATAAAGGTCACTGCAGAGAAGGGAATTGCGCCAGCTCTGTGGAATTGGAAAATTGGTCACAAAAGCTCCTTTTCTTGAGCAAATCTTCCTGAAGCACACTGACGTATTTAAAGCAGTAAGATGACGGCCTGTGACAGAGGAAATCCAGGCAGACAGTGAATTCATGGTGATTGCAAAGCATTTGTACACTGCAGTGTGATACAGGGTTCCCAGAGCAGCTCACTGTCTGTCTCCTTTTCAATTAGCTACACACAGACCTGGAGCAGCTGGTTCAAGCTGGCTCTGAGCTGCTGTTCACCAGCAATACTCTGTTTCTCYTGCTTTGACAGGGTAAAAAACTTCCGCCCCTTCTGGCACAACCTTCCTYCTTTTCTATACACTCTCAATCGCTCTTGTTCTCCATCTCCGGGCGCAGACACAGAGTCCTTTGGCAATGTCAACAAGAGGAAAAACATTGTTAAGTGTAAAAGGTCAATCAGAGACAGGTATTATCTCGGAAAACATCACCCTAAATGACTGGAAGATTGGCATAATAACTGGAGGAGGGATCTGAGAACAGAAAAATAAGCTTATGTGTAGCACTGCCTGTACTGCTTAAAATATATKGAGGTCAGAAAATGGCACACCTCGCAGCCCAGGCAGAGTGCAGGAGGAGCCACACACCCCTCTGGTCACCAGCAGCCCAGTGTGGGCAGTGGCCGGGCCAGGATGGCTCCAAAGCTTTCTGTGGGAGCAGTGAGAAACACAGCGGGGGAGACTCGGTTTAACCGCACCTCATTTGTGTGTGGGAGGAACAACAGCAACCCCAGGGAAGCACACAGAGGTGTAGAAGGARAGCAAGGACARCTGGCAAGGTTTAGAYGCAAGAAAAAGTTGAAAGAGTGCTYRTGGTGTGTGAAAGACTTGGAAGAACTCATCTCATGCTGCTGGAGACCCTTTGGGTTCAAAGAAACAGGACTGTATGGGCAATCTTKGTTTAGTTTGTGAGAAAATAAATGCTTCACTTTGCACGTAAACCATTGTTCCTCCAGTAAACCACTTTGGATTAACCTTTTCCTAATGGAAACAACCTTCAGAAGACTTGGTTTTTACTAACCTCATGAGTGGGACTGTTTCTGTTGTTGCCACTGGTCAGGATTCTGTATTTCTGTTGGATTTTAATTTAATTTTTTCCATAGTTACACTATAAATTTGTTTCAGGATTCAATTGATGTTCTCCTGCTTTGATTTCTCTGAGTACTGCCTTGTGCTATACTGCTATAACTCYGTGTAATAACATATTTTTAGAGCAYTAATCCACAGGAGCCTGAGAAAGAAGATGCATGAAGTCAGCACCTAGTAYACAAGAACATTTCTAAATCTTTCTAAACATTACAAACATCAACTTGTTTACAGTAGTTTATTCAGAACTGATTTGGATAGTGCCATCTCACAGGTCTGAGAGGAAAGTACCTTTCTGTTAGATACAAAACTCCAAATAAAAACTGAATTAAAATGCAGGCTATAATCTAGAAAAATCCATATTAAATAAATAGCTAACCAAGCCAAGTCCTGCCTAAGTTATTGTATAACTCATAAAACAGTTTGAATCTTCTGTGAACTACCTACAAGCCACAAACCAGTTCTGCCAGCAGGGAAGTATAATGAAGAACAAGAACCGGTGGAGCAAAAGACAGAGTAGGATACTAATTAGAGARGAATTTCACTCATCTCAGACCCTCATGCACGTTCCAGATGAAAAGTCTCTTCCAACAGCAGCTGCAGTTACACTGCCCAAAGCCACTGCAGAGTGTGAAACTGATACATAGACCGAGCAAGCGAATTTGGGGCAGATACTCATTGTCCCTGAAACTGTGATGCAAACTCAGGACCCAGCACTCAAAGACATGAGGGGATTTTCAGCCTGAGGCTGCAGGCTCTGCTTCTTAGCCTAGGGAGCTGCTTACAGAGATGACAGGGACTCAGGCTGGGTGATTGTTCCCTGCAGAGCACCCGGTGTGTGTGTCAGAACAGGGTGGAGACCCTGAATGTGTGGCATTATGTGTGTCCACACCAAAAAATGCACATGGGTTCTTTTGTTATTTGCTGCTGTACCTTAGGAATGGCTTTTCTTCCCTGTGAGAAGGAGCTGCAGGGTCAACAGCGGGAATTGGAGTCAAGCATCAGAAGTAACCCATGACAAGCAATCTAAGAGGGGTCAGGCAAATCCTAAATATTAACTGCTGGAACGAAACTGGAYGGATAGATAGCTGTCAGAAGAAAATCCATGGCAGGTTTCTTTAATCCAAACARTGCTTCTAATATAATACAAATCTCCATTCTGCCTTGCTGCACTGTACAAGAGGGAACAATGTTGTGTTTAATCTGCTGTCATTTTGGGCCCCACTGAAGATTATGATGGGGACTAACCAGCAGCAGCGTCCAGCCACTGCAATAAAGAATTCTATTTCTATCCTCCTTTGAGCCAGGATTTCTTCCTCTGTCATTCAGATGGATGCTAACATGCAGCTTTGCAAGAGCAGCAATATGATAATTAAAGGAAGAAACATTCCTGGTCCATATTGCCTTGTTAATTTTGCCTCACCCCTTTTTTTTTTTCTGCACAGAAACGTTTTGCCTGTAGCAAGAAAATTCTTGGAATTTATTGAAAACAAATTGGTACAAAGCTATCAAACACATCTCTTCGTTTTTCTGAAGGATTGCTGCTTAGAGGTGTAATTGCTCCCTCTAATCAATTTTGTTAGGTAAGCCTTGCAGAACAGCATTCATTTAAAAGAGACTGATTGCTYTTAGAAGTAAGAATATTCTTCATTATCATCACCA